CCACACACACACACACACCTACATACATACATCGCTATAGTATTTTAATTTGTCCACACATTCAATATCTGAATCTAAGACAACCTAAAAGTTGCCTTAGATGTGGATAGATGTAATACAGTAGTAGCGTATAGTAGATAGATACTAAATACAATGTTTATGAACTTTACGCATATTTACATTTTGAGAATAATAAACGCACAAAACCATCTAATGGGAGCATAAACACACAAAAACCACCCAACGTAAGCTAACGAGATCATGAACTCACAATAAACATCTAACGAGAGCTTGAATGAATGAAACCATCTAACGAGAGCATCAACAACAAAAAAGCAAAAGCAAAAGAAAATGGATTTCTTACCATCGATCTCTTTCTCCATCGTCCATATTACGTGTGTTACAAGTGACGTCATATTGCTGGCAATGTGCCAATGTGAACTGTAACTTGTCGGACTGCTTTGGAAATCCACATCATGAATGCATGATCCTATCGAAAAAGGCATAATAATTACATTATTGGGAATTGTTTCCTATTACCACTGTTGAGGCAGAAATAATTTTTAAAAAAATTATATTTCTGAATAAAAAGCCGACCAACCGTCGGTCCTTTTAAAGCGATGAATGTCATTTAGAAATCTATAAATTTTCTGTTCCTTTTTTTAGACCACTCGTTAGAGCTAGTACCGGTAATCTTATGCCATCGTGTTTGGGGACAAAACATTTGTTGCTATCGGAAGCTTCAGTTCTCAGTATATTTGTCTGTAATCAGTGATATATTGAGGAGAAAGCTTGGGAAATTAAAAGTATGAATGTTTTTGGGGAAAACTGATGAGGAAATTTGTGAAATGTATGTTTTTAGAATACCCAACATCTTGAACATAGGCCGATTTACATGGGAAATCGTGTTGTTAAATTAGTCTGGAAAACTCTCACTCGGTGTGGATTTACCTTCACTCTACAACGATTGGAGCCACAGAATTTATACCCATAATCCTTGTCAGAAGTGTTTGCTTTTTATCTGCATGGCCTTGTCCATAAATTTTTAATTACCATTACCAGTAGCACACAAAATAATTATTTCAAATAATTTGTCAGCTTACCTTTGATGAATTTGAAGTTGATAATTTCAAAAAGCTGAGTACAGTACTTAAATTTCAATTTAAAAATCTAAGTACTGTACACATGGTACAGTCAGAAGGAGCAAACAATGGTAGGGGAGAAACGCAAACTACTCATTCAGAGGTTCAAACACATGTTTTTAAACTGCGCAGGTCACTAAGCACCTCCCTGTTGTTTCTCACTCACGACATGTATCTTAGTATGAAGGACCTTATAAATCTGCTGTAATTTCTAAAATCCGGACTAAAATCTACCTTCATAAATTAGAGGTACAGCTAGTGCTAAAACGGCAGACCAACTCTTACTTATGTCATGTGGCATTACCACGAACTCTCGTACCATGGACACTCACTCGGCCTAATTTTACTCGGGGAGGCAAGCGAAACATGGTCAGATTAGTGATGCGTTTCGCGTGACACTACACGATTTTAATCTCCAGAAACTATATGTTGTGTTTATGATGCAAATACAATGGCGTGAGAGGCAAATCCAGGAGGACAATTTATCATTTCCCATCGAATTAAATACGATGCTTGTTTAATTTAGATACTATTCTGTGAACTTAAATGTGTTGATTGTGTTAACTAGATGTTTACTCTTGGGCAGGATTCAACTCGCAACAGCGCGATGTTCCGGTCTTGATATAGGCAATAGGCTTATGCATACGAGCGAGCAGATACGACTATCACCTGCACGATGTAGTTTCTTTAACATTAGATAGTTCAACATTCTGGTACAACAAATTTGTTATAAAGTTTAGACATTACGATTAAATAAATATCGTGAGCTTTCTTACGGCCTGCTGTAATGCTAGCAAGTACAGAGAATGACTGAACCATGTCCCAAAGACATAAAAGCAGATATTCGATTTTTCGGTGCATCACATCTGTCAAAAATACAAATCTTATTTAAGCGGAGTGGATTACTGCATCATTCATGCTCTCCTTTATTTAATTTGAACTAAAATAATAGTCGATGATAAAGGCATGTCTTACCATTAGTAGAACATGGCTCCCCATCTGCAACCGTTGTCCCGTAAATCATCGCTTCTTTTGGGAGAATAGCAACACCGTCTGAACTTACACTGACACTTCCGGCCAAAGATAAGGCAATAACAGTCGTGTAGTACACCTACAAATAAGAATAAACAGAAGAATGTTGTTGTTCATTTTCCTAATGTAGAGCCTGAAGAAATATGTTGGAGATAAATTGCATGACAGACATATAATGTTTTCGTCGTTAATTGAAAAAATATAATGAAAACAATAAAACCAAGTCATACTTTAAAGTCTGAAAGATCTAAATTCCTTATTTCAACGAAGTCGTCAGAACCAACATCGACCAGGCCTTTAGTGACGTCACTATTTCCGGGGGTTGATCCTACAGCAACCTGGTAACTAACTTCATCATGGACGTTTTGAAAACCATACCAATATACTGCTATGGCATCCTTTTCACTTTGGCAGTCAATGTCAACATAATTCTATAAAAAGACAAAATAATAGCAGAAAATATCAATGATAATAACAATAACATCTTTTAAGAAATATTTAAATAATAATAACAATATTAATGATAATAAGTATACTATTGAAAGGTCCACTGATTAATCTCAGATAAGAAAGTATAATACATACTCCAAGTATTGAAATACACGCCATCGTGTTGGGATTCAATATTTCGACATTAATTATGTCATCATCAGGAATGAAAAAATTATCCATATTAGAAAATATTAAACCTAATTTATTACTTACATTACAGACGACATTATCATTTTCAAGTATACCCTGTAATCCTAAAACATATTGGAATGCCTCACAGTTTTTAACATGATCAAATATAACACTATCAGATCGTGAAGAATGTTCTTTAAGTCTAGTTATTAAGCACCTATCTGCCTTACCGATATAATCACTGTTGCAGCCTGGACATTTAAAATGATAGACAACAGAACT